TACCGGGGCAGTACCGGGGCAGTACGGGCAGTACCGGGGCAGTACCGGGGCAGTACCGGGGCAGTTACCGGGGCAGTACGGGCAGTAGGGGCAGTACCGGGGCAGTTACCGGGGCAGTACGGGCAGTACCGGGGCAGTACCGGGGCAGTTACCGGGGCAGTGCCGCGCCGGGTCCCAGGCCGGGCCGGCAGAGCGCGCGCTGCCCGGCGCTGTCCCCGCCGCCGCTCACGTGGGAGCCGGGCGAGGGGGCGTGTTCCGAGGGAGGCGTTCGGCCAATGGTGGGCGGCGGGCGGAGCGAGTAGCCAATGGCGGGCCGAGGCGGGGCGCCAGCAGGGCCCGCCCTCGATGCCGGCGGGAGGGCGCGGGCGGCGCGCGGGGCTGCGGCACCCACGGGCGGCCGCGGCGGGACCGCGCCGGCTCCGAGCGCTCCGCGGGGCCGCGCCGGGGCCGCTCCGCGCCGCGACCCCGCCGCCAACCCGCGCCCAGCGCGGCCCCGGTCCCGGCAGCGCCGCCCGCCCTCCCGCCGGCAACGGGATCCGACCCCGGGGGAGAAGCGGAGGCAGGTGCGTAACGCCGGAGCTCCGCGGCGGGAGGGCGGAGTTGGTAGGACCTGTTGCTGTCCGGTTCCGGGGGGCTCCGTGGTCGTCCCGCTCCGCGGCTGTCCCGCTTCGCGGCGGGCTGGGGGTCAGAGGCCCCGGGGAACGCCGCAGCCGGGGCTCTGCCCGACCCCGGTATAAAGCACAACGGGGGCTGCCCTGTCCGCCCACCTGCTGCCGTTCGGTCCCGACCCCGGCACCGTTTTGGATGAGGGACGTCGCAGCGGCGTCCCGCCGCCAGGAAAAGGAGTTGGAGGATGGAGAGGAGATCGGAGCAGGGCCAGGGTTCTCCGGAGTCACCCAGAGTCACGGGGAGGAGAGCTTGGTCTGGGGTGAGGCGACGGGGATACCTCCAGCTTGGTGGCCCACGTGGGGGATGAGGGCAGAACCAGGGCTAGAAAGGGCTGCTGGAAATGTCCCGCAAACAGCATCTGACCTGGGGACTGCTGCAGCCTTCAAACTCCAGCAGAGCCCCATGGACCCTGGGACAGCTGTCCCCTGTCATCCCCACAGCCCACCCTGAGGGGCTCGCAGAGCCTGTCCCTTCATCCCACAGTGACTGTGACTTTCTCTCTTCCAGGGACTGGAGAGAAAGAAGTGATCCCTGTGTCCTCACTGCCCTGCCAGAGCAGGGGCAGCTGAAAGAAAGCTTCCCTGTGGCGTGGCGCAGCCTGGGACACAGCAGTGAGCGGCCGAACTGATGGGGTGACACTGCCCTGCTGCCAGCGTGGCCCCATCCCAATCCCACCGCCAGCACCATGGCCATCCCCTTTGTCCCCGGCCAGTAGGTGGAAGCTGCACACTCCATCACTGCCCTGGCATTCCAAGTGTGAGACCGGGCTGTGGGACCTGCCGATTCCTGCGGGACTGTGGCCATGGCGGCTGCTCTCTCCACCGGAGCGATTGTGGCAATTTCTTTTAACTGTGTCATTGTGTTGCTCATCCTCATCCTCTTCCTCATCCTCTGCAAAGCCTGCAGGACCCCCTCATGTCCCAAGAAGACCCCAGCTTCTGATGTGGATGAATCAAGGAATGAAGAGAAGTACCTGCTGCAGCCTTGATCTGCCTGGGGACGGGGGTATCTGGCTGTGTCAAAGGAGTTGCCAGACTGGATGCCTGTGCTGCGACTCGAGTGCTGGACCAGGCACAATGAAAGCTGAGGGGACACCCAACTGCTTACAGGGGCTGTGACGGGGAGCACAGTCCTTTGGCTTTGTGGTTTTGGTGTGTGAAGTTCCTGCGAGTGCCCACAGTGATGATGGGGATAGAGGGACAACTGGTGGGATATGCTACAGGGACAGTCATGCCTGTCCCAGCGGCCACTGAGCACAGTAAGAGCTCTCCCTTCAAGTGCACCCCTCATTTGGGAAGAGCTTGTGGGCTCTTCTCTGGTGCTTATGGCCTGGGACAGTGGCAACGTCACCGACCTGAGCAAAGCTGGTTGGGCGTCTGGAGAAGGGAGGCAGCAGGACTGGCACAAGTGCTTCTTCCCGAGCAGGCTGGCTGCTCCATGGCAGGGTGTGCCCAGGGAAACCTGAGCAGCCCCAGCCCTGCTGGCAGAGCAGGGTGTTGCCAGTCCAGATGCGCAGGGGTGGCCCTGAGTGCCGTGTGCCCTCAGCCTCAGGTGGGCCTTTGGCAGATGTCTGACCAAGCAGAAGATTTAATGAGGCACAAGAAGGCCTGCATGGTCTGCCTGATCATCCCTGGCCTGTCTGTCAGGCCCCTGCAGCATTAGCACCAACGCTGCTAGGCAAACGACCCTCCTCCTCCTCCTCACTGGGTGTGTGTCCCTGCCCTCCCCCCGGCCTGCTCCCAGCCGAGGTCAGCCATGGTATTCACCATGCCTGTGAGCAGCAGACGTGCCCTTGCAGGCATCCCTGATCCCGCTGAGAGCAGCCTGGTGTGGGTTTTCCTGGGGAGATGAGGGTGCCTGGACAAATAGCTTTGAAAGTTCTTTGACCCTGCCTGTTCCCTGGGGATCACAGTGGCTCTGTGGAGAGGGATGCTGTCATCTGGCTTGCCTGCAAGCCTGACAGCTGCATCCCCTACCCTGCCAGTGGGTGCTGTGGGTTTTGGAGGGCTCTGCCTTGCCTTTCCTAGAGCCGAGCAATAGCCACAGTCACCGCTGGCATAGCCACTGCAATAAGGGGACAGAAGGGTGGGGTGGGAGGGATGCCATTCAGGGTTCCTGCAGAGGCTTGGCGAAGCCTGGCAGAGCCTGTGGCTCCTCCCCGTGTCAGGTGTAGCAAACACATCCCTTTGCAGCCTTGTTTTTACTAGACTAATAAATGGATTGTAGGACCCACATTGTGTCTCTGAGCTCTACCCAGTGCCTGGAAAATGCAGGGGGAGGTAGCACATCCAGCCATCCTGGGGGGCTGAGGAGTGGCTGTCCTGGGGACCGATGTCTCCAGAGGACTGTGGGTGGTTTGCTCAGGGATGGTGATTAGGAAGGGCTCATGTCCACATCTGTCAGTGGCTGGGTGAAACCTGACTGGGTATTTCCTGCCTGCCTGGGGCATGTGGGAGTCAGCAGGGAGCATTCCCCAACCTTTGTGCCAGAGGTACAGAGAGTTTCCAAGCTGTGGCCGCACTTTCCAAGGATGCTTGTGGGAGACAGGCCAGCTGAGCATATGGAGGACACCTGCCACCACACCTGTCTGGTGGCTTTGGTTGCCAGGCCTGGGAGCTGTGCACAAAGATCTGCTGGTGACAGCCGCTGCTCATCAGCATGCTGTAAGGCCACTGCTGCTGCTGCTGCCACCGGAGCCACACAGCAGTTACTCCTCTGCTGCACAGAGTGGTGGAAGGCTCTGCAAACCCCGCTGCCCAGCAGTTCCACAGGCACCAGCTGGGCAGAGGCACCCCAGCCCCACACTGGGGTGAGGGAGAGGGGAGGGGGGAGCTGTGAGCCTCCCACAGCTGGTGACTGGCAGCTGCTGCCATGTGCTGTCCGGAGGCATGGAACGTCTTTCCCACAGTCCTAGGGCACCAGGCCTGGTTTCCAGGCACCCTCTGGTTTAGGCTGCTGCCCCCAAATCCAAGTGTGGTATTCCATTTGACTTGCACAAATGCCTGGGGGCTCTACAGCTCAGTCTCTCTGGTCACCACTCACACAGTGGAACTGGCTGCCATGAAACTGCAGCCCTGAAGTTCTTCCAGTCCCACTCCTGCCCTCCATAGGGCTCTCATCTGGTGCAAGCCCAGCCAAGGCTTGGGAAAGTCAAGGGCCTTGTGGCTCTGGAAGGCCAAGCATGGTGAGATTTGTCTAACCCAGAAATGACTGCATACCGCAGCTCTCCCAGCACCTCGGTTTATTTGGGCACAGAGGAAAAGTGTTTCTGCTGTGCAAAAAGTGGGCAGCAGAGGCCCGTGGCTTGCATGCCAAGCAGCCACCGATCAAAGCTGCGCTTGTTTGGCCAGAGGCTGCCCACAGAGTCATCTTTCCCCCTCTCACTGCTCTTCCTTGCTCCCTGGCTCTCTCACCAGGCTGAGCAGCTTCTCCAGTTTTGCTATTTCCACCTCGGGTCCTTTCTTCACCTCCTGGCCTTTCTTCTCCTGCAAAAAAACCAAACAGGATAGAACTGTGAGCAGGGAGGAAAGTAGGGATGAAGAAGGGTCCAGCACAGGGAGGGCTGCTGGAGTGCTGTGTCTGAGCTCTCACTCCTCACTGGAGGCTGATCCACAGGGGGTGCACCTGCTTATCATCATATTTCAAGCCCAAGGTGTCATGAGATGTGTGAAAGCTCCTATGAGCTGGGAAAGGACGCTGATGAAGTGTTTGGGAATGGGAGTGGCCTCTCTCTTCCAGACGTTCTTAGCCCCATGGGACTGGACCGCCGCCCTCTAAGCTATGCCCCCAAGCTGTAGGTAGGTGCCAGGTATGCAAGACAGCTGTCCAGTGTGCAGATGTCCAGATCTCCCCAAAACAGCCCCATTGTGCCCATCCCATGCAGGTGCTCCTGGCTAGAGGCAGCCAGAGGAGCAGGGATCACCCTTTTTGCACTCAGATGGCTTTTCCCAGGAGGACAGTTGGGTGTTAAGAGTCCCTAACCTGGTGGGGAGAAGTGAGTCAGGGCTCCCAGGTGTGCTGTTAACTCCTCACTGGGGCTCTCCTGTGCCTGGACACACTTCCGTGCCAGCCCTGATGCACACCTCAGTATGGGCAAAGAGGAAAAGCACTTCCCACATTCCCCTAGCACCTGTCCCAAGCATGCTAGGGGCTCCCTGCCTGAGTGCTAAAGCAAACTACCAGCATCTTGAGAAAAATCACACAGCACAAGGGAAAGAGCCTGCCCAGTTCAGCCCTCGCTTGTTTGGGCGCAGCAGGAGTTTCCAGGCCTGGCAGAGGACAATGTCCCTGCTGAAGGCACAAATTCCACTCACTGCTTTGTGCAGAACATGTTTCTGCTGTGCTGTGGCCTGCAGCATTGCTCTCAACAGAGTTCTGGCACTTTGGGAAAGTGAGTAACCAGGCTTAGGCTCTCCAGGTTTGCATCATGGAAGACACAGCTGCAGAAGAGGAATTTTCCAAGTTACAATGAGCCCACCAAGCCCTCCTGCAACTGAGCATCTACACCATGGGATTTCTCCAAAACAGCATCCCCACAGTCACCACTTCTATCATGAAGTGTTGCTTTTCAGTCACAGGCTTCTCCTTTGCCAGCCTGCTGGATCTTGCCTTGTTTCTGAGTCAGTGGGATACCCCTGCTTTGGGGCTGGGGAGCGCCTCTGTGTGCAGCATGGCTCTGGGCACCCCAGAAAGCAGCTGCCAAGCACAGGTGAGCAGGAAGTTGGCACAGTCTGGCAGGTGGGCTCAGGAGAGCCTCCAACACTGCAGCAGAGCAAAGAGAAGGGAACATCCCTGACCACGCTTGGAGACAGCCTGCAGGAAGCTGCTGTACTGGCTCTTCTTGGCATCCTCAAAGCACAGCTTCTGCTCTCCATGCTCTCAGAAGGCCAGAGGAGTAGCACTCAGCATAGGAGGAAGAAGACTGCCAGCTTTCCTCTCTCCCCACTTAGAACAGATCAATTCTCCTCCCGCTGAATCAGCCCCGCTAATGGCCGCGGGTGCAGCAATTACAAACACACACCTTCCCTTCAGCGCTGAAGAAATGCCAGCGCACAACACGGGGAAAGTTGTTAGCCCACATGAATCTCACTGCGCTTTTCTAGCAAACGTGGGCATTGCTGAGTGATGACAACACGCAAAGAACTCCCCGGGGAATCCCTGTGTCCTCCCTCCTCCCAGCCCCGCACAACCTCGATGGAACAGAGCTTTCCTAAACTGCCGGAGGACTCTGCTGAGATGAAAGCAGTCCTGGGGGGAGGATGGGGACAGGGATATTTGGAAACCCCTCTGCTCCCAAGAAGAGAGCCCCACTGCTGTTCTGAGCACTGGAATGAGCCCAGGTTATTTTATTTACAGAGTTCATCAGCTGCATGGTGGGACAGTGCTGATTTGTATTAATGCCAACAGATGAGCAGCACCCTTTGTGGCTCTGGTCTGGGCACTGCGAGTGATGTTTGCAGTAATGGCCCACATCACAGCAGAGCATCTCTCTGAGTGAGAGCCTTGGGATAAACACAGCTGCTCGAGGTATTTCAGGACTTAGCTATTTCTGCAGAAAAGCTGTTTTGCTGTCTGACAGTGTTCAAACTCCTCCCTTTGGCACTCTAACATACAGCACCACACAAAGGTCCTCAAGACAGGCAAAAGAGGCACCTGCTTTGCTCAAATGGAAAGAGAAGATGCTGAAGCCACCTCCCACCAATCCATTTCCCTCCCAAGCCCTTTGATATCTCTACTGGCAAAGACAGGAAGAAGCCATGACTGATGTCCTGCGGGCCCATGGGAACTGTGTCTAAGCCTTGCTGAATTTATCAGCCTGAGGCAAGGCTCAGCTCCTGGTCACCAAACTGTCCCCAAGACTTTGACTTTCACACTGGCTGAGCTCCTTTGGTGCTTCTGAGCACGCTGTAACAAAGCCACACGCAAGCCTGTAATGAGCCGTAACTGAACCAGAGCCCTAATTTAACGCCACATAACCAAGGAAGCAAGATGACAAAGGGAATGGAAATTATAATGTCCTTTTGGGGGCACTGGAATGGAAAGTTTCCCTTTATTCTGTCATCTGCTTCTCCCAGGGCACTTGTGCTTGTGAGCTGGCTAGGCCACTGATGGCACCAGCACAGCATTGTGGGATCTGCTTGGATGCACGTGGCAGCTTCCTACAAATCCAGGGACTTTGGCTGCACCAGACCTCTGAGGAGCAGTCCTTCTTGGAGCAGAGCTATCCCCACACGAGGCAGGGAAGTGCCACATGGCTGCCAAAAGGCTCTGCCTCCAGCAGATGCCACATCCAGGTGTGGAGAGGGCATTCGTGGGGCTCTGCCACCATGTGTGTAAACTGACCCTGTCCTCCACCTACATCCCTGCTTATACCACATCCATAGGGCTCTTCAGGAGCTGAGAGTGAGTCAGGGCAGATCAATCTTCCCCATGAAGCTGTTAGATGCAAAGCTGAGATTACATGGGGAGGTCTGTCCCCTGGGCACCTCATGGAATGGGTATTGGAACTGCTCAGAGCAGCATTTGCATCAACTTTACTGTAAACTGCTTCCAGCTGGAGAGCAAAATGTTCCCATAGAAATGGTGATGAGGGACATGGCAGGAAAGCTCATGGCAGGGCCAGGAAAGGTGCTGTGTGGGGATGGATTCTGCCCTGCTTACAGAATGTGACCTCAGGGAGGAGAGATGGGGAAGAGACCTCCCTGTTTGTGTCCATGCTGCTATATTTGTTGCCAGGTTTCTCACGGCCCTTAAGCTCCCTTTACTTCGTCTGGGATCTTCCCTGGCTTGTCAAGCAAGGAAACTGGGGCAAGGGACTCAGGTCTACAGGTAGTGCACAGGACCCTTGATGGACCTCTCGGCCCCAGGGTGAGTACTGGCACTGGAAGTGAAGCAGGAGGTGACAGATGACTGAGGTGAAGCCTCAAGGCGAAGGGTGGAGTGAGAACTAGAACAAAGATGAGGATAAGGACTGACTGCTTGAAGATCCCTTAACCTTGGGAGCCTCAGCCCCACCCATCCCCATGCTGGCACATGCTGAAGTCTGCATGCAGGTTAAGGGACTCATTTAAACTGGAGTCTTGGCTAATGTCTTCATTCCCTAGTTGAACAGTATGCCACTGAGTTAATAAAACTCTCCCATAAAAGCCATGATGCTGGCACTTCTCAGCTTCCACATCTTTTTCCCATTGGGGGAATAATCATGAAGCATCTGCTCTAAAGTTTTGATTATACAAGGCCAAACATGTTTATGTTTTAAAGCAGCAAGGAAGTCAACCATGCTGACATAAGCATAGTCAGGAAAGTCCCCACAATTTCCTTATGACCAGAGGTGACCCCTTACCCTGCTGAGCCTTGGCCAAGGGGCACAGGCCTGTCTCTGCCCTGCTGTTGTCATGACACCGATGTCATTCCTTACTCGATGGGACTCCTGGATACAGTCATGCTGGAACAGGATCTAGACATTTTATAAAGCAGCCCAGTGGCCTAAGAACTGGCCTCCCATGCACAACGGTTTAAGCTTTTACAGAGTTGTTTTGAAGGGGATGAGAAGCCTCAATGAGATACCTAAAACTGCTTATTCTTATTATCCTCAGTGGGAAGGGGCACACAACCTGTGTTCACACAACCAGCTATTCAGAGGTGTATTTCTTTGGGAGAAGGTCTTTTCTTGTTCCTTCTGCTCAGGTTAAGGTGACACTTCCAGGGTAAGGGCTCCTCCATTATCAAAACACACTAGTGACTGGCCTGGTAAACTCAACAAATGAAAGCAAAGATGAAGCTTCCCTGGAGCATTTCTGTCAGGAAGACCAAGGAAAACCAAACTCCTTTATGAACACAGAAAAATTTTCCTCATCATCTTCCTGGGCCACTAACCAAACATTAATAGGATCAATAGGAATATGATATGAGCTGCTGCCCTGAAGCCTCCTAGATCCACTTCATCATGGTCCTATTGCAACCCAGTGCTGTCAAATGAAACTTGGAGTTATGCTGAGCTGGGGATGACGTCTGTGCCAGGACCATTTCTGGGCTCTCAAGAAGTCCATTTACATACAACAGCAACATGATTTTTAACCACAGAAAGCCTCGAGCTATGCTCACAGCCTGATCTGACAGTATCACTCCTGGCCCATGGAAGGATTAGTTTACAGACTGGAGATAAGGATTTAGGCTTATTCCACTACTGTTTGGAAATAAGCGACACAGTAAATGTTTTTACAGGAAATGAAACCAGCAGAAAAGCCCAGGGGATGACTGGGTCATTCAGGTGACAGCAGCCACACAGGATCACTGGGCTCAAGGATGCTCTTACCTCCAGCTTCAGGTACAACCTATGCAGTTCAGGGCAAGCACCCCCACCTTTCTCAAGCTCACATCCTGACTCAGAGACTTTGCCTGGAATCTGCACTGGCCCATGCCAAAGCACAGCATGGGTCTCAGGGTCCCGGCTGACCTGTCTTTGCTTGTTGGAAGTCAACATTTA